CGCCGCACCGGACTCACGCGGCGGGTCACTGTTTTGGTGCGCTTACGGTGTCTGTGCCGTGCGATCCTTCGCCAGTGAAAGTTGTGCGCACGTGCCGTAACCTTGGCTCAAGCGGGACGCGGGTGCTGCCGCGTTGGGGCCCGCGGCGGCGGCGGGCGGCGGCGCGAGGGCGCACTGGGGCTCTCGGCCGCGGAGGGCCGTCGCTCCTCAGAGGCGCCAGCGGGCGGCGCTCGGCGTGAGGCGATGGCGATGGTGCGCGCAACGAACTCGCTGTTCGTGCGTCGGCTGAGCTCTCAGGTGTCCGAGGCCTTCCTGCGGCAGCTCTTCTCGAAGTGCGACGAGATCGAGCGGATCATGTTCAAATCCTTCCCGGGCCGCAGCACGGAGTTCTACGCTCAGATCGATTTCAAGAGCTCCAGGGGCGTCGTGGAGGGCCACAAGCTCAGCGGCACGCCCTTCTTCGGCGTGCCCTGCGAGGTGTCTGTCATGGACCCTGGCCAGAAGGACACCATGAAGTCGCTAGAGGAGCAGAGGGAGCAGCAGGCTTGCGCGACGCTCGCACTGCGTGGGCAAGAGGAGGAGGAGGCCCCCGCCGAGCCGCAGGGTGTTCAGGCTGAAGCCATCAGAAAATACAGGGAAACGTCCGAGGACAAGCGGCTGCGCACTGTGCACGTGGCAGGCCTCGAGAAGGGCGTGGAGGAGGAGGCGCTGAGGGTCCTGCTGACGAGCAATTTCGGCGCCGTCGAGAACATTCGGCTCGACGAGGACGACCATGGCGATCCGTTCGCGCTCGTGGAGTTCAAGGACCGCGGCGCGGCCACCGCCGCCAAGATGCAGCACCAGGTCGTGGTGGACGGCAGGGTCTTCGCCTTCTCCGAGTCCAGAACGCTCATCAACACGATGGCGTTCACCGAGGAAACAGTGTACTTCACGACCCCTGAGGCGATGCGGCCACCCACGTGGCAGGCAGCGCTGGCGCTGAAGGAGAATCTGACTCCGAAGATCGCGAAGGCGCGCGCGGCGGCGGCTGAGATCGCCCAGCAGCCGCTGGACGAGGAGACCAAAGAGCAGCTGGCGATTGCAGAGGGGCTCAAGCAGGCGCCCGAGTTCCAGTGGGCCGGGCGGTCAGAGAAGGATCCCCTCGTGCCTCGCCGCCGGCACCGCTCCTGGGGAAGACACGCCAGGGATAGGGGTAGCTCGCGTGGCTCTGAGGACAGACACCGCGACAAAAAGAAGAAGAAGGCGAGGAAGGGCCGATCTGGTAGCACGGGTCGGGACAGAGACGGCGAGGAGGGTGCGGAGGGTGACGACGAGGGCCCTCCGGTGGACCTCGAAGAGGACGAGGGGCTCGACTTGGCCGTGGTCCCGAACACGGAGGTACTGGCATGCTCCTCTCAGTCAACCTCCGACGACGAGGAGGACCAGGCGCCAGGCGTCGCGAGGAGAGCTCGGGCCGCCGTGGTCTCGGAGGAGGCAGGTGGGGCCGTGTCCCGCAGCGGCGCCCGGGCTGCAGGGCCAGCGCCGGCCGAGGCCGCTGCGCCGACGGTGAGCATTGACGTCCTAGACGCACCTGCCGCCCCGGCCGAGCCGATAGCCGTCCAGGACGTGCCGCCGCCGCCCGCGGAGCCCATCGCCGTGCCTGACGTGCCCCCGCCCCCGCTGCACCCCATCCGGCTGGACGAGGACGAGGCCCCGCCCAGAGGAGCCGACCACCCCGCCCCAGGAGCCGCGCCCCTGGCGCCCGCCGCTGCGAGAGGCCTGGCCTCCTCGCCGGGCGGCCTGCCGCTCGAGGCCGCCGCCAGCAGAGCCACGCCTGCAGTCGCGGCCGCTGCCCTGCCTGGGCAGGCTCCGGACGCCGCGCTGCGGGCTGCGGAGGCGCCGCCGGACTCGAGGAGAGCCCGCAGGCTGGCGGCGGTCCGCCGCGCCGCGGCAGCGGCTCGGCTGAGGGCCTCCGGCGCCGAGCTGCAGCGGTGGGAGTGTCCTTCCTGCGGTGAGCCCAACAAGCCCTCGAGAGAGCTGTGCAACAACTGCGACGCCCCCGCGCCCTGGCTCGGCCAGATCAGCGACGGGGACTCCGACGCCAGCAGCTCGAACCAGAGCGCCTCCGCCGACGCCGGCCCGCAGAGCGTGGAGGGCAGCCCAGTGAAGAGCGTGGGGGAGAGCCCTGCAAGGAGCGTCGCGGGGAGCGGCTCCGCGCGCAGTGTCTCCGACGTGCCCGAGATGGACGTGGACGACTCCAGCTCGAGTGGCGAGGAGGCACCACTGGCCAAGCTTGGGCAGGTGTCGAAGGAAGACGGCATTCAGTGGGAGGCGGACGTCGTCCGCGGAGAGCTGGCGGACGCGCGAGCCCGCATCTTCCATGCAGGCGCGGAAGACGACTGAGGGCGGGCGCGCCACGCCGCAACTCGGGCCCGAGCTTCTAGCCCAGGCGTCTGCCGCAACGGGCGCGTGCGCCGCGGGGAGGGCGCTGCGGCGCGTCTCGCTGCTCGGGAAAAATGTCAAAGTTAGAGTCGTCCATTAGCTAAGCTAAGCTGGTCTACGCTGGATCCAAGGACATGGTATACCAAATTAAGGCAACATGCGGTTGGCTACGCCGAAGTGGAGCTACGCTAAGCTTCCATGAAGCTGAAACTACAGAGTGACACTGGGCTAGGCCAAGCTGAAACAATACACGCCATCAAGCAGCATGCGAATCAGCTCAATCTAAGCTTGCACTACAGCGTTTTCAGATGGTATGGCTATCTGTGGAGATCATATCGTGCCGTCTGGGTTGAGCTACGGTAACACTTGCATCGGGCTAGTAGCGCAGGGGATGGGCCACCATTCATTGAGATATCTTGAGGCATACGTGTGCCATGACCAAGCTAAGCCTGATCCGAGCCAGGGGTAAAGTTCTGTCCAGTGTCCTTCGGCCCATCCCGACACCGTGCCCAGTTTGAAGGCCAGAGGTCTCTTGGATGCTTGTGGGGATCTCTTGGGACGCCTCTCGAAAGCCTCGTTTAGGCGGTTTTGGGTTGTCTTTGGGGCCTCTGGGGGGCCTCTTGGGGGTTTCTTGGGTGCTGATTTGGGCCTTTTGGGGGTCTCCTGGGGCTTCTGGGGGCCTGCTGGCTGTCTTGGGGGGTCATCTTGGGTCGGATGGCTCGAAATGTCAGTCGGTGTTCCTCTTATTGGAGCTCTCAGGGGCCCTGTTGGGGCTCTCTTGGGTCGTCTTGGGGGCCTCCTTGGGGCCGCTTAGGCCGTCTTGTGGCGATCTTGGGGGCCTCTGGGGTAGTCTTGCAGTGTCGTGAACCTGAAAAGGCTAGAAGACTATTTTCCTCCCAGATCCTAAGGAGAGCAATCATTTGGGCCTCTTGGTGCCCTCTTTGAGGGGCTCTCTTGGCGCATCTTGCGGGCCTCTTGTTGGGCCGTCTTAAAGCCGTATTGGGCATCTAGGATCGCTCTTGGGCCGACACGGTGCTCTCTTGGACTGTCCTTGCGGCCTTTTGCGACCCTCTTGGCCCGTATTTGGGCCCTCCAGCCCGCAACAACGTTCAGCGGGAGCACGTGCTGGCACGCGGGACGCCCCAAGAAAGGCGTGCATTTGGGGTCCGGGCCTTGAAATTTCAAGTCTCAGGGTGGAGGACCGAGGACCCAAGGAAGGGGACTGTCGTGTTCATTAATTTACTAATTTGGGCTGCGCGCCACTGGCGCGCCGGCAGAGGCAAGGCCACCAGCACGCCTACCTCTTTTCACCCTTTACCCGAGGACATTCCAACTCGTGCATCGGGGCACGATGGCTGATACATATTTTAATGCATTATGTAAACACATGTACATACATATATGTATCGCATACCGGTAACCCTGCCCCGGGCCCCCCCGGGGCGAAGACCACCAGGGGCACCGGGGCACCTGATATACATTTAAGTCCCCCCTCCCCCCCGGGGCCTCCCCAGGGCCTTGCTTCCCCGGAGCTTTCCTGGCCCCCCCAGCGCTTCTGGGTAGGTTTAAACAGGTCCCAGACAGGCTCCTGGACGGCTTCAGTACGGCCGAAGAGGCCCCAAGACGCCCCAAGACGGCTCCAAGAGGAACCTCAAGAGGACCCCCAAGAGGGCCCGAATAGGCATACATCGTCCCATTCCTTTTGAGGAAAACGCGCATTTCTAGCACAGTCGCTGTTTTCTTGTGCACCGCGTCCAGGACTGCCCCAGAGACCCCCAAGAGAGTTCCGAAACGGCCCAAGAGGTCGCCCTCATGTGCCCCGAGATGGCCCAAGGCCCAAGAGGGCCCCAAGACGGCCCCGGAGGCGCCCAGGACCGCCCAAGTTCGAGGACTCAGCCTCCAGAGGACCCCAAAGAACGCTAGCAGGCCCCCAAGGACTCCCCAAGAGGACCCAGGAGGGCCCAACAGGTTCAAAAGAGGCCCAAAGCAGGCCCAGAAAGGCGCCCCAAGAGTCTTCAAAACAGCCTCTCAAATGCTTCTCCAGAGATCCGAGCAGGCATTCAAGAGGTCACAAGCGGCCCGCGTAGAGAATACAAGATATTTGTTGTACGTCTCGAATCGAAGACACAGGTATGCAAACACTGTTCCCCTCACTATTCCTCATCCTCTTTCTCCTTCTCCCCTTTCCACTCCTCTTCCTCCTCCTCCTCCTTCTTTTATCTGAGAAGCTACTGTCCCTCACACCTCCCACCCCTTTCTTATATATATATATATAGATATCTTTCTCTCTCTCTTTCACTTCGCATCCTCTGTTTTTCATGCACCCTCTTCCTTCATGTCCATCTTGCCGCCGCCTTCTCCCTCATGCAGCCCTGTTCCGTACTCCGCGTGTGTAGCTTCCTCCGTTCCCTCCTCTGTCCCGCTTCCTCCTTTTCTTGCCTCCTCCCCTCTACCTAGTACGTTCGCCCTACTGCCCCCTCCACCTCTCCTCCCCGCCTCGGTGATCCCCCTTCATCCCTCCTTCCTCCGCCCTGCAACTCCCCGTCCCTCTCCTTTTCACTTTGCATCACCCCGTCCTCCCTCTAACCTCCTCCTCCTCCTCCTCCTCCTCCTCCGTCTGTTTTTTAAGCGGCTACATCCTACGTTGTGAGCTTCCGCCTGTTCCAGCCTTCCTCCACTGTACCTGTCCTGCCACCGCCCTCTGTCTTTGCCTCATGGTACCACCACCTTCCGTTCACATGCCGGAGGCCCGACCCTGAAGGCCCCAGGCCGCAGTACACACGGCCCTGGGTCGCAGCACACGCGGGGCACCCATGGTCCCTTAAGTGGCGCCTCCCCTCCGGGGGCCTCTCCTGAGCCTTCCCCGCCGTCTGCGACGAGGGCCCCGCGGCGGTCCCAGAAGGCCCCCAGGCCATCGCAGGAAGTCTCCAGCGGCACAGTGAGGCCCCAGGAGGACGCCAGAGTGCCCCCACACAGGACGTCCAAGAGGGCCACATCAATCAAAAACCCAAAGGAATCTCAACATGGTTTCCTTTCTTTTCTGGAGCTCCCATTTGTTGCCAACGCGTGGCTTCAAGATGGCCTCGGAGGCTCAAATGGTTCCGAAGAGAGTTGCAAGATTGCCCCAAGGATATCCCAGGACTGTCGCGAATACAAAGCTTCAAGTCTACTTCAGTCACCAAGGCGTGCGTTTCCAAGCCAAGGACCCGATCATTCGGACAAGGCCCCTGTGACGCGCTATACGTGTGGCCCCATGGCAAGTAGAACTCGAGCGCGCGCGAAAAGCGCGCGCGCGATGGTTCTAGTATACACGTACCTATACGACCACCCTTCGGGTGATAAGGAGGTTCGGGGGGGGGAACCAACGTCTCACTCGATCGGTCTCACTATCGATCTCAGTATCGATCTCACTATCGGTCTCGCTCGATCGATCTCACTCGATCGATCTCACAATCGATCTCACTCGATCTATCTCATTCGATCGATCTCACAATTGATCTCACAATCGATCTCACAATCGATCACCCAATCGATCTCACATTCGGTCTCAATATCGATCTCACTATCGATATCACAATCGCTCGCACAATCAACGTCGTCATCATCATCATCAACATCATCAACATCAACATCATCACCAACATCGTCATCATCATGAGGGCACCGTCATCATCATCATAAACATCAACATCAACGTCGGTATCATCATCGGGACAACATCATCATCATCATCATCACCATCATCCTCTCATCATCAACATCATCATCATCATCGGGACACAGTCATCGGCATCATCATCAGCAGCATCATCATAATCATCATCATAATCGGGACACCATCATGATCACCATCGTTCTCATCATCAACCTTATCATCAACATCGTCATCACCCTTGGGACACCATCATCATCATGATCATCGCATCATCATCATCATTATCATCATCATCGGCATCATCATCATCAACAACATCATCATTGGGGCACCATCATCATCATGAGCAACATCATCATCAACATCGTCATTATCATTATTATCATCATCGGGACACCATCAGCATCACCATCATCACCATCACCATCATCATCATCATAATCAACATCATCATCGGGACACCATAATCATCATCAACATCATCATCAACATCATCATCGCCAGGACACCATTTCCATCAACATCATCATCACCAACATCATCGGAATCATCATCATCATCATCATCATCATCATCATCATCATCATCATCATCATCATCATCATCATCATCATCATCATCGGGACACCATCATCGTCATCATCATCAACATAATCATCATGAGCATCATCATCCTCATCATCGGGACGCTATTATCATCAACACCATCATCAACATGATCATCATCTCCATTGGGACACCAGCATCATCATCTCATCATCATCATCATCATCATCATCATCATCATCATCATCATCATCATCATCATCATCATCATCATCATCTCATCATCATCATCATCATCCTCGCGGGACACCGCGGGACACCGGCGGCACACCGCGGGACACCGCGGGACACCGCGGGACACCGCGGGACACGCGGGACACCGGCGGGACACCGCGGGGCCCCGGCAGCCCGGAAGGGAATCATTTGGTCCGGCCGCGCCTCAGCCACACGGGACACCAGCGGGACACCGGCGGGACACCGCGGGGCCCCGGCCGCCCGGAAGGGAGTCATTTGGTCCGGCCGCGCCTCAGCCACAGGAGACTTTTTCTCGCCCGCCCACGCAGCTTCGCCTCGCCCGCACGGCACGCACGAACACGAAACCGAAATCGATTTCCCGGTAGGGGGGCTCTCCGTTCCACTTCGATCTCACCCCCCAACCTCCGATAGCGGGCGACCGGGGACCGGGCCCAGGGGCCCCAGGGCCGCGACCCCGACCGCAAATCGGGGTGCCGGGGGCCTGGCCGGCTCCTGGGAGGCCCCAGATCGGTGCCAAGAGCGCCCAGACGGCCAGGTAGCTCAAGACGGCCTCTGGGGTCCCAGGTGGTTCACGAGGCGTCTCGAGCGGCCCCCGAGGCGTCCAAGACGCTTGAAGACCGCTC